CTGTCCGGAACTGTTGGGATGCTTTACAAATCTTTTCAAGACTTGCTCACGTTATAACATACACATATTTTACTGCACATGCATTAATGTGCTTGATTAGGGGAGATTGCCCTGGTTCTTGCTGTTTTTTTGTTTGTTTGTTTGTTTTTGTTGAAATGTAATATATGGCCTGTGGGCTATATAACTTTTCTCAAATGGCAAAAGCTCTGATTTGGGCAACACATCTGGCTCAAAAGGTTTTGGAAAAGAGATTGTGAAATTCTATTTGATCTGTGTTTACAGGGTAAGATTGATAATACTGAGAGATTAGATATGGAGAAAACTATGGAAGAAAGCAACATTTATAGCCTGGAAGACTAACTGGTTAATGATAATACTACCTCATTAGCTTGGGAAGAAACAGAATTTTGGGTGTGTTCACTGAATAGTGCATGACTTACTGAAGAGGCTGCTTGTTGGATTTTTGAGGTATGGCTTGTATGCAGGATTTCAGATTGAATCATGAATCAGAAAAAGGGGACAACTGGAGAAATCTGAATAAGATTTCTATAGAAATCTTATAGAGTCATTCATAGTATTACATCAGTGCTAATTTTCTGGTTTTGATCATTGTATTCTGATTATGAAAGATGGTAGCATTTGAGGTGGTTGGTTGAAGGACTATGAGAACACTGTCTAGTAGTTCTACAACTTTGGTAAGTCTAAAATTATTTCAAGTTTTAAAAAATGAGAAAAAAAGGTTCTTTGCCATTACCAGGAAATTGTATCATTCATGCTACCTTGAAGTAGAGAATATCTTTAGTATGAGCGTGGTTTCTTGAAGAATTCCAAATCTGAAAATGCAAGTCAAGTGAAATTTCCATTCAAAACAAAAACCAGGGCCTCCCTGGTGGCACAGCAGTTGAGCGCTGGGTTATGAAGCTGCCCGCAGCCTCTGCAGCACTGGTTCGATCCCCGGCTGCTCTCCGGCCACCGGAGGAGGGTCCCACAAGGCACGCAGACCTCTCCTGCTGCCCGCTGCTCCTCTCAGCAGTGTACTTCATCCGTCTGCCTGTTCTGTTCCCAGCTCTGGCTCTGGTGAATTCTCTCACCCTCTCGCACTTCTGAATGTACCCAGTGCTTGTATAAATAAATAAATAAATCTTTAAAAAACAAAACAAAACAAAACACCACCACCAAAACCTGACCTTATTTTTATAATGCAAAGATTACTTTAACATTCTCTGACATTGGTTTATGTCTAATTTGTTTGGCTGCTACTCTGTAGCGTGAGATGTAAGTTTATTGGTTAGGATTGACAGGTACAATAAGGTGTTCAAAGAGGAGGGTTTGCAAATCACAGAAAGAATGAAGAAAATGTGCCTTTAGTAGCAAAGATCAGCTCACCTGGACTTGGCTGTGGCGATGTTCCTGTGCTTGCGTGTCCCCAGTGCAGAGGGTCCATTGCCTTTGCTTCTCTCTCTCTCCCTTCTGCATCACATTCTAGAGTTTCAGCTGCTTTGTTCTGTACTTCTTTCTCCAGCCCCATCTTTTCTTTCCTTTTTGATGAGAGTGGACCTAGCTGGCAGCCAGTTGCTGTTGAGCTATAATGGAGCTAGTGGTATGTACAAAATTTGATTACTGCTGTCAACACCAGATTGAATAAGAAAGTGCAGACACTAGTCAGATACTTGCAACATAAATGGTCTATTGATTTCACAAGGGCTAGAAATAAAGCCACCATGTCATCTAGCAGAGGAAAGGGTCTGTGGAGACTGGGTTCTGATGTTACAGAACAGTTTTAAAAATTGTCCTCCTATTGGATCTTTTTAGAAGAATCTTCAGATAACTTTTGATGAACTGGCTGTTGCTTCAGATTTTCTTCGCCATCAAGTATTTATAGAAAGTCAGTGAAGCCTCTGCACTTGCGTTTATTCAATAGCTTACCTCTCCTGCCTGGAATCTCATTTAGAAGTTGTTCGGGTTGATACAGCCCATATTTGCTTTTGAGCTATGATGACATTTCCACTTAGCTTAATATGAATGTTTTAGAAATTTCCCACAATGGAAAGTTCTATTTGACATAGGAAAGTTCGGCAGTCAGTTTCAGAGTCAGCTGTATGCCAAAAAATAACTAAAACAATGGGTTACATAGTGCAGCCTTGGGACATGGAAAATTTCTTGGAAGATGGATGAATCATATTCTAAGACAGGCTGCAAGGCCTGAGGTCTTATCTTGGAAAATAGAGAAAAATGTTTTTGTTTTTTAAAGTTTATAGCTTTTTCATGTCTTTTGGGATACGTTGTATGTATGTATTTTTCTTTTTAGTATTTTTTTAAGGATTGAAAACTTAAAATCCTATAATAGGATGTTTTAGGAAAGAAAATTAACATCACTGTACATGAATTTGTTCAAACTATAGGGTTGGAATAATATGATTCTCTCTGAATTAGATGAAATAATCCTTTTGAATTAGAAATAAAGATAATCCCTTTGAATTTGATTTTTGAATTTTGAATTAGATAATCCCTTTAAATTAGATTGGATAATCACTTTGAATTAGAATAATTACTATCCTTGCAATATCACATTTTTAAAAGGGAAGGGGAAGTTCCTGCTAGTGTCCAGATCCTGACTTGCTTGTCCCCCTTGGCTGCCTTCAAAATGTGTGACATTCTCAATTTAAAATCACATCTGGGTCTAAAATTTCCTCCTATAAATAGTTATGACTTTTCACTTACAAAAGAGCTTTAATTGAGCCTGCTTCTGTTTAAGAAGCCACATACAGAAAAACTGGAAAAAGCTGATTTGTAATCTTTGAAATGTCATATTTACAAGGAAAACGTCTTATAAGTTTTCTGAAGTTACCCTTTGATACAGGAAGAAGGACCAGCTGCTCTTACTGGATATGTTAATCTGGAGTCCAGCACTGTGAGCCTGGTCTGTACACCGAGGCCAGTCAAAATGTTGAGTCTTTTCATACATCTTGTAAAATAGCCACTCTGAGGCTGCATACCTTAGCCTCAGCCTGAACGTCTTCCTTCAGTACTGTAGCCAGTGTCCATTCAGATGAAGTGGTCCCCCTGCCTTACCAGTCACTCTCTATTTTGAGCATTTAACCCTGTTTATAAAAATAGAGCTATTTTTGGCTACTGATAAGAACTAGGTTTTGATAATCACTGGGGGAAATGAAAATCAAACTATGATGAAATATCACTGCACACTCACAAGGAAGACTATTACAAAAGATGTTAAGTGTTGGCGAAGATGTGGGGAAAATGGAACATTCGTACATTGTTAGAGGAAATGTAAGACTGTGAAGCCGCTTTGAAAACTGACAGTTCTTCCAAAGGTTTGCCATAGAGTTGCTGTATGCCCTAGCAATTTTACTCCTGACTATATGTTCCCAAGAGAAGTGAGAGCAGGTTAATATCAAAACTTGTACACAAATGCTGACAGCAGCGTTATTCATATTAGCCAAAAGGTAGAAAGAGCCGAAGTGCCCATTAACTGATGGATGCATAAATATAAGTGCAATGTGGAGTACTGATAATTATTTAGGGATATTAGCAACTATAAAAAGGCATGACATGCTGATACAGGCTCCAACATAGATGAACTTAAAAACATCACATGGAGTGATGAAGTCAGTTACAAAAGAACACATTTTCTGTGATTTCATTCTATGAATTGCTCAGGGGGGTCAATTCTGTAGAGGCTAAAAGTAGATTTTTGTGGCTGCTTAAGGACTCAGGGGTTGGAGAGGAAATGGAGTGACTGATTTTTTGGGATGAGGAAAATGTTTTAAAATTGCTTGCCCTGAGGGATGCACAACTGTGTGACTATATTAATGATCATTGAATCATACTCTTTGAATGTATGATTCATACAATGTGAATTGTGTGAACTGTATCTGGATAAAGCTGTCACAAAAAAAGAATTGGGGTTTGGGCCTCCCCAGTGGCGCAGCGGTTGAGCGTTGGGCTGTGAAGCTGCCCGCAGCCTCTGCAGCGCCGGTTCGATCCACGGCCGCCGGCGAGGGTCCCACATGGCTCACAGACCTCTCCTGCTGCACCCGCTGCTCCCCTCAACAGTGTACTTCGGTCCTTCTGCCTGCTCTGCTCCCCACTCTGGCTCTGGTGAATTCTCTCACCCTCCCGCGCTTCTGACTGTACCCAGTGCTTGTATAATTAAATAAATAAATCTTTAAAAAAAAAAAGAATTGGGGTTTGATTAGAAGATATAACCCATATCTCTGAGCTTTTCATTGTCTTTGTGCTCACAACTGTCTAAGGAGGCAGGAAGGGTCACTATTTCCATTTTACGGATTTGGAGACTGAGGTTTAGAGAAAGTATTTTGCCACATCATACCACTTCTGGTCTAGGAAAAACACATAAGGAGGAGAATGGGCAGGTACTAGCAGATTCTTTCCTGTACATCAGCCAGTAACAAGAAGAGAAATGGTTTTTAATAAATCTGTATGTATCCTGGTAAGGGTATATAGTCTATAGTAATCTTTGCTCCTAAGTAGAAGTTTTCCATTTTCAATCAGGAGAGAAAAAAGAGCATAGGAATAAGAAAGCAGGTGAAGTAAAGAATATAGGTAATAATTATCCTTCTTGTGTGAATTGTACACGTGTAAATGACAGCAAGAGGGAAAAGAAAATATGTAAAATAGAAAAGACTGGAAATACGAGTTAAAATTTAAATAATGATAATTCCGTGTGGTTATTTTTTTTGCATAATAGCAAATTCTAAGGAGTGAAGAAGAATTCGTGTGAGTTTCAGTTCCCCAAAGTATATGTGTACCTTAAGGTGAAATAACAAGTCCGATTGATTCTTTGAAGTTTAGTTAATGTGCAACCTAGCCCTTCCGCCCAGTTGTATGCCCAGGCAGGGCAGTCTCTATTTATACACATAGTGGGTAGGGAGGTGGGTGGAGGTGTCCCTGGCCAGCTGACGCTGTCAAAACAGGAAGCAAAGTATAATCTCTTTGTAGGAGATCAGAAATACTCAAAGGCCCTTAGTTGTGACAATTTAAAACAAAAACAAAAACAGAAAAAAAAAAAAACAACCAAAGTAGTTTTCACTAGCTGCTCAGTGTAACTTCCTGTCTGGTGCTCAGAGGAGATTGGGTTTAGTCAGATCCTCTCATGGGAAAAATAAAAGCCACCCCAAACAGGACATCCCAGTGTGCACTTCGCAGGCTGCTTTTGTTGTCCGCTTCCTCTGCATCTTCCCCGGGCATTTAAGCCAATGTAGGAGATGAGTATCCGGGCGGCCACCACGTTTTGCTGGAAGAAGTGCGGATTTGATTTGCGAGAGCAGGTAGCTCTCCAGGATTGCAAGCAGTTACCAGGTAGGTCTGTCCATTTGCATGGCTCCCAGCAGGAGGTTTGAAAGGAGGGTGTCAGCAGTCTTCCTGACTGGCGAGCCTGATGTGTTAAATTACAAGCCACCAAAGGTGTTGCGTGGCTGGTAAGGGGCAGCCTGGCCTGGGCCTCTAGACTGAACAGTGGAGACCAACCTTGCTTGCTTCCTCATGCTCTTCGGAATGTGAACCTTTGCTGATGTTATTTATTGGCTGCTTTAGAAACGGCACTAGAGGAACTGAAGATTTGTTGTGACGGATATGCTTCACTTTACCTCTGTGCTTTCAAAGTAGCTCACCATGTGCTTGCTGTAAATCCTGTAAAGGAAACCTTTGCGCTGTGCTGAATAGGGGAGAGAGCTCACTCATGTTATATTTGGCTTATACTGTTGTGCTAAAAATATATTTTACTTTTTAGAAGACTTATTTCAGAGCTGACGAACACTACATCAGGATGTTTGTAATTTTGAGGCGGGGCTGGAAAGGGAGGTTCTTGTGTTATGATGCAGCCTTGTCTAGGAGAAAAGTAGATGCAGAACTCTCCTAGGATGTGGTCATATGCTTTTCTTGCTCTGGGGTTTCCTTCTAGGGTGACCTAGTTTTCCCACTCCGTCCAGACGCCCTGTTCTTGTGTAATGTATGTATTCATGTGCTGGTCACATAAGCTTTCTGGAAAAAGTATCCAAGTTGATGTCTTTCCTTGGACCACACAATCCTACATGAATATTGTTGCTGTAGAAAAATTTTGATGCTGGTTAGAGTTTTTTAAAAATGTTTTTCTTGCCTTTGGAATTACTCGTTTCTCTGTTCACATTTTCTGTGCTAACTCCCTGGAAAGGGAAGGAGGCATCCTCCTGAGCGTTGTTACTGTGGCGCACACTTAAAGCAAATGATTGGAGCGGCCCATGCCTTGGTAGATTTGGTTTCTTGGCTGAGTGGAATAGGAGATCAGTGTGCTATCCAGTCTTTCCTTAGCTATTACTTTTCTCTCTTATTTGAAGAATCTGTTGGTTTCAACAGGAACTTACAATATTTTTCAGGAACCCGAATTAAGCCCTGCGGTGTAGAACTAGAGATGGCAGTGTCGCTGCTTTCAGAGACATTTCTGGACTTCCACTTGATTCCCTGGCTTTAATAGTCTGTGGTCAGCTAATCTGTGTCTCACTGTCTTGCTACAGAGGGTCTGAGGTGGCCACGGTGGTTGAAAGCAGAAGATAATTATATGAAAATATATAAACAAACATTCGAGCTAAGCAAACTTTCAGTCACTTAGGTTGCTCCTTCAGATGTGAGTTTTGATCCTCTTCTTTCCTTTCTTCTGACCAGTCCTAAGACTTTTAGAAAATAGAAAGCATTAAAAAAAGTATTTCTGGACATGATGTTTTAATAAAAATAGAAAACTACTGCCGTGCATGAGTTCAAATTCCACAAGGGCCTAGACTCTTCTCAACGGTTGCTACTGAGCTAAATATTTTCCTTGTATCTGCAGGGCATCTGTCTTTAGTGATCTTGTTAGAAATAAAGATGTAAAAAACACATTTTTATGGATGGCGTACATGACCATGCTTAGCCCCCCCTTTTTTTTTTGGGTATCCAGAGACGTCTCCATAATAGATTAAACATTGGGATGAATTCTTTATTTACTCAGTACTGTGGAGAGAGTAAAACTATTAATATTTTACATTAAACTTTTGACTTTTTTGCAGAAGTTGATATTTCAAATGACTGTTGCCGAACCTAAAGAGAATAATAGAACAGGGAATAAAACACAGTAGATACTAAATTCTTAGATGCTCAAAATTAGCCTTTCAGTTTTGATTTTGAAATTGCCAGGCCTTTGCTGTATGCTGTCATTCAGAATGTGGAACTGTAATACAGGATATTTGCCTCTCACCTATCCATTGAAATGAAATGGAGAAATTGAGTAAAATATCTCTTTTTTCATCTGTCCATCCATCCATCCATGCACCCATCCATCTTTGATATGGAATCTTACTTTATTTATCCGAACCTTTTGTAAATAGTTTTCTTTCCTTTTCTTAATCTTGATGTCAATGCACAAATGAACAAATGTTAGAGGTAATTTGAGGGAGACCAAAGTTTAAAAAAAAAGACTTGAAATGTCAAAAACAAAATTCTTGTGTGCCATTATGAGTCTTGCAGGATCTACTAATGCACAGATGATTTATGTCTAGAAATTGCCCTGTGCAGGAGTCTGCTTCTGGGAGGCCCTACTTTTCTTGTCATCCTTCCTGCTTTTTTCTCTGCTCTTAGGACTCTGTTAGCTGTTTCCTTTTTAGATGGACGGGTTAAAAATATCCTCAACTATGGCTTCACATTAACATCATGAAAACACTGGAGCCCCACCCCAAAGATCCCGAGGTCTGGATTTTGTAGGTTTTTCCAACATTCCCTCCCCTGCACCCACCCCGACTCCCAGCAGTTTTAATACAGAGTCAATTTGGAGGGGCATGGGGGAGGGTTATTCATTCCCCACTAGACCGAAAGCTCTAAAGGAGGAAAGGCACAAGGAGGAAGCTCTGTCACCTTTGTACCCAGCACCTAAGTGTGTGCTTGGCTTACAGGAAAGACTAAGTATCTGCTGTGGAATGAATGAATAAATTCCTCAGAGCACAAGGCCGCTGAAAGAGGGTTGGATCTCTTAGTTTCCCGTATGTGCTGATGTAAGAGAGTATGACACATTACACTGTGACCCATTTGGAGATAAAACTCTCACCTGGGAAGAATTTCATAGGGAAACAGGCTACTATCAGCACACGTTGGGCAGACCTGTAAGAAAAGAGAAGAGTCCTGGTTGTCCGGTCTTCATGAGACAAGGCAGGTTGACAACTTTGGGATTTCATCAGGAGTGTGTGTGTGTGTGTGTGCGCGCGTGCATGTGTAATTGGGGTTGTTGGGGGCACCACCAGGAGGTTATCCCAGAGGACAGCTCAGTGCAAGGATTAGCTTGAAAGGAAGGACTGTGGTTATCTTTACCAGATATTGGAGGCTGCCTGACCCACCCATGGAGGGTAGCAGAATAAGGGGACAAAGAATTTAGTGTGGTTGGAGTATAGTACAGTCTGGGAAAATTTGCTAGGGCATGTGAATTTTTAGCTGCTCTTAATGTTTATAAAGAAAATGAGTTGGTGGTTAGGAATACCAGCTGGAATATCATTTGCAGACTTGAGGGAGAAATCATTAAGTGGGGAGAAGGCTGGGCAGAGAGACTTGCTGGAAACAAAAAAAAAAAAAATTGGGGGAGGAAATGAGTATGACTTACATGGCAACAGACAGTTTAGGGGGTGGGGCCTGGGTCTCTGTTCCCTTTGGTGGCCAATTTGTAGTCACTGAGCTTCTGAGACTGTTCTCCAACCTGTAGACCCTTCCAGGAGGTTGTGGTCAGAATGAATGATGTAACACGTTGAAAGCATCTTGCAAACTCCATTAATAGTGCCAGATACAAAGAAGGAATAAGCTCTAAAACATCATAAAGCTCTAATTACTTGATAATGAGCTTTGCCTGTCGCCTAGCGTCTAGGAATAGGAAATCAAATGTGTGCAAAATGGTACTTAAAATATTTTAAGTAGACTGTGTGCACACCTCATCTTTTTTGTTGTGTTTTTCCTTGACATTACTTGAAAGGTGTGTTTATGACCTGGACCTTGGATCTGTTTCATGTGTTACTTTGGTACGTAGAGTCCTGCACAGAGGGCACCACGTGCTTCTGATTCTAATCTTTTGCAATTTTGGTCGGCGAGCCAGAGAAAGCACTGGTGTGAGAATTAGATAGGATCTGGCGCTCAGAGACTCCCTCTTGCTTCTTCCAATGTTGTGACCTTGATTTGAACAGTTCAGTGAACTGGCAGCTTAAGTAGTTTTTTTCCCACTGAACTAGAACTTCCATTGTTTTGCAGAGGAAGATGAGTCATCGCCCAGTTCTACCATTGTGCCCAATTGAAATTTTAGTCTGGGATGGAAGGAACACAGGGTGAACTTTCTTTCTCAGCCACACATTGAGACATGGGTGGGACTTGGGTAAACATGAGTGTGGACTCCTGCAAGGTTGCTCTCAAGTTAAAGAAGCATTTTATTGTTATGAATATTTGATCTCCAATCTAATGTAATTTATTTACTTTAGTAATGTAATGAAATTAGTAAATAAATTAAAATAGCTTAAAAAATGCCTTAAGTAATCAGCCTCTATCCTAAAAAAATTCAGTGATGACGAAAATTAAAGTGGAAAATGGTTAATCCCCCCCAATCAACAGTTTTATTTGTTCCGCTATACTTCTAGAAATGCACAAATATGCAGCTATATATCTAAGTTCCCATAAGCATAGTTTTCCTTTTTGAAACAAAGTTAAAATCATTCTAGAATAGTGGCATCCCATTTTTAAAAATTATTGAAAATAATGACCTGTGTCCACAGATCTTAATTCATTTGGGTAAATTGCTGGAAAATAAGCTTTTACTGTGAAATTGCTGTCCACAAAGTGTAGAAAGGTGAAAAGAAGTATGTAATTGTTTGAACTTGCAGTTCTTTGTGTGTGAACTCCGTAAATGTTGACTGGCTCTGTGGACAGCTTCAGTGAGATACCTTTTCAGACCCACCCCGCCTCCTTTTTTCTGTTGTTTGGATCTCTGACTTTTAAACTCAGTAATTCAGAATGAAATTCCTACAAAATGGCGCATTTTGGATGACTTAATTGAATTTCTTCGAAGTTTTAACTTGGTTAGCTTCCAACTTAAAAGACAAACCTGATTTCTAGGTCTTTGGGATAGAGATTTGAGTCTTTGGATTTATATTCTATGTTTTCTCTTCCTCGTTTCACTCACAGGGAGCTGTCATCATCCTAAACTGTGCCAAAGAATGTGATTATTTAGGTGCCCCTGCTGCTTTATCACGTTTTCCTATACTGATAAATGATTTTCTTGTGGCTGGCAAATCCCAGAGTCTTTTTTTTAAAGATTTATTTATTTTTATACAAGAAATGGGGTATAGGCCAGAGGTGTGGGAGGGTGAGAGAATTCACCTGAGACAGAGTGAAGAGCAGGACAGGCAGATGCACCAAAAACACTGCCTAGGGGAGCAGCGGGCGAGATAGGAGAGGTCTGCCACACCATGTGGGTATCTCTCTGGCTGGCCAGGAATTGAACCCTCGCTGCAGAGGTTGCAGACAGCTTTACAGTGCTGCACTCAACCTCTTGTGCCACCGGGGAGGCCCCCAGAGTCATTTATTGAGTAACTCATTTTTCATGTGCTATGTAGAACATGAGGCTGGCACTTTATTTGGCAAATTGTGGGAAGGATTATAATAAATTGTGGGTCCTTAAAAGGTGAGTCTTTCAAGTTAATGCAGCAAAAAATGATACAGCTTAGAAGTTAAATGACAATAAGCCATCAATATAAGTGAGCTTCCATAAGTAACAGCATACTGAAATGCACAAGTTTGTCCTTATCCTTCCATCTGGATCTGTTAGTGATTTTTCATATCAAAGCAGCAAGACTTTAATTCTTCATTGGGGTCACCTAACCACAGATGCAGTATGTGACAAGAAATATAGAGCTGTAAGGGGCAGCAAATGACATGCTGTTGCTTGGAGGATATCTTCGTGGCAGAGTGCCTGAAATGCTTGGCTGGTTTCAAAGTTCACTTTCATTTGTTCAGAAAGGTTTTTATTGTTTGCAAGCAAGCAAGGCAAGCACAGGGAAAGGGCATACAGCCTCCCATATAATTCTGTGCTATATGACCTAGTTGCCTTTCGGTGCCTTATATAAAAAGCTTTATTTAGTCTGTGGAGAGGACTGTTTCTCCAAGTACAGGAGAACTGTCATAATGGTCTGGGAACATGATAGATTTCAGTTTAATGCCACTGGTCCAGATACCGTGAGAGACTAGGCTACCCAGCAGTCATAAGACAGGCATCTCACACAAATTCTTCCAGGTCGCTTGTACTTGCATATCATCAATGCAAATGCCTATCAGCCAGCCATCCTCCTGGCTCTCCTGCCCCATCACACCATTCCTGGCCCTTTTCTACAGGGCCAGCCAGCCCCTAACAAGGAGCCTGCTGCCAAGGTGAGCCTCCTGGCTTCACCTACCCCTTTCCTTGTTAAATGCTTGGAGTCCCAGCCTTTGCTTCTGCTTTGACTCCCAGGCAATCATGTCGTTTCTGTTGTTTAGTAGCTCTCGAATTGTGTTTGACAGAAGAAATTTATTTCCCCAGCAGATTGACTTTCTCCCTAGATAACTCCTACCCACCCCAGTAATCTGGTACTTGACAGTACTCTGGGAACTGATTAGTCAGTAGTTAATAAATATTTATTGCTTAACTAACTACTGCTCCAGCAGAAAAAGGAAAAGTATCATGTTGTGGGTATGGATGTGTATGTGTGTTTGTGTGTCGGGCTGAAGGGGTCAGTGATATAGGGGACATTTGGGAACAGAGGAGGAAAAAAACACAAAAAATGAAAATACTTGTTATATTTTCTCTCTGCCCATGTGAGTTCTATAAAATAACTACTACATTCCATTTTTGCTCCAATGTGTTTAAAAGACCAGGGAGAATTTCATAGTGATAGATTTTAAACTGGGAAGATACGGATATTTTGCAAGTAGATGGAGGAAACAATTCTCATTTCCCCCTACATGTCCCACTGGATCCTTAGTAATGCAGCTCCCTCCCTCCTACCCATTTCTTCTGCTATTGCAAGGATCATCTTATGTTTTATGATGATTATTTATTTTGTGGCTAACTGATCTGTACACTATTAAGTCTGAGATTGCATTCTGTGCATTCACTCAATTTGTTGCTAGACCATAACACCTTATGCTTTAGCATTTCTCGGAGTAATAAAAGCTAAATAAAAACAAATGGTGTTGAAGTTAAATCCACATCTTGATTACTGTAATGAAGAATTGACAATTGAATTTGGAAGTCATTCAGTAAGTAATATTTGCCTGGTGTTTAATGGTGAATAAATCTTACTATATTAAGTTTGTAATAGAAAGTAAGCATTGATTTCCCTGTAATTTGCTAAAATTCCTCATCTATTTATGTTTCTTAAGTAGAATATTGCCCTGTTTTTCTCTCAATTTCAGTTGAGCCACGTATGACTAAGAATTAGAAGGAGCAAAAATAGGAGCTGAAAAGAAACGATCCAAAGAACTCTTCTGAGCGCTGCATTTCCTGGGTCCTGTTGTAGTTGCTGGGTGATTTAAATCATTAAATTCAATGATTCTCCTCCTGTGTATGCCCTTAGACTGGACATAAATTACAGTGGAGCTTGTCCCTTGACATGGGTAGTGCAGGGACATCAATGAAGTACCTTAGGTCCCCATTTAGTGACTGCTTTGCAAATTCACTGGTAGTTACTCAGTTTCCTTGATCTAGAGTAGTAAATTATAAGGGCAGCGAGCTTGAATGCTGCTAAAAATTGACACCATCATTAATGAACTATGCCTCTTGGCAGCCTGGCGGTGGAGGAGATAGAAAAACAAAGCAGTGCAACAAAGTCTCCAAGGCAGAAGCCTGGGTCAGTATGTTTTGCCACTCAAGTGGGCTAAAATTGAAAAGACCATTAGCTTGGGAACAAGCTCCTCCAGTGAAACAGTAAGCACGTGAAGGGTGTTTGAGCTGCAGCAGTTAGGCAGGCTCTGGAATGCTGTGTGCACATTCACCCTGACCCAGCTTGCTGAAAACAAGGGCCCTTTTCCTGGTCCTTGGGGGCTGAGTGAGGCTCACCCGAACTTCCAGCTGCTGAGGCTGGTGCTTGTTAGCCAGCACCCAGTGGCTCTCAGAAGCACAGTAACTGCCTGGCTTGAGCAGTCCCCGCGGTAAGCAGGGTATGTCCTCACCAGTTATTCTGTGAGATCATCAGCAATTCGCTCCTCTGGTTGGTCAGGTACATCTTTTCCAGGAATTCTTTCCTGACTTCCAAGTATGGGTTAGTGTGTGTCTACTCTGCTTCCACAGCTTCCCAGTCAGGATCAAGTTCCAAGATTCCTAGGTGTGTTTATCTGTCATAGCAGTCGTGACAGATGGAATAGGTTAGTGTTTTGAAAGTGTGTTGTGTTGCTGCAGGATGCAGCCTGGGAACCTGCATTTAATCACCTCTCCGAGTAGTCACTGTGCATGTTTGAGAGCCTCTGCTTTCAACCAGGATCTTGAAGATAAGGCCTGTTTTTCTTGTTTAGACTCCATAGACCTATCCCAAATCCTAGGCCAGTTTTAGTTAAAAATTACTTTGTTTGTTTAATGAATGAGATAGACTTCTACCCAGTCATTAAGGTATGGGAAGCGGGTGTGCATATGGAACCCAGCAACACAGCCAGAAGTCACCTCTGTGACTCCTTAGTTTTGTAAATCAATAGTATGTGAAACTGAACATGTAATATGCATGTGCGAAAGTAAACTTTCCTCATATTCCCACATAGGAAATATAACTTTACTTGTATTTTTACTTTGTTTGAAATAAATGCTTATTTTAGGATAGCCTCACATTGACAGAAGGGTTGCAGAGATGGTACAGTTCCCTCACCCAGCTTCCCTTCTCTTTTTTCTGGAAGTCTTACTTTCTGTTACTTTTGTCACAAGAAAGAAACCAATATCGATACATTGTTTATTGTTATTAATAACATTGATCAAAGGCCTCCTTAAGATTTGTTAAAGTTTACATTGTATTAAGTTGTATTGTTAAAGTTTATATAGATATAAAAATGAAATAAGATTTACAACACATGCCAAGTTTTTTTTAAATTAGGGTTTTGAATTTGAATTCTGAAGCACAGTTACAGATTCGGGTATCTCCACAAAGCAAGTCGCCAATAATTAGATCTCTAAAACCTGAGAAAGGGGAAAGTTATTTTGAAAAACTAACATGGGGTTAATCTCTCTGAGTAGTGCACATTAGTGAGAACATTTACTGACATCTCAGCTTCTGTTAGATAGAGCTAAAAGCTTGTGGTCTGTTCAGGTAGAGGGACTATTTGGAATATTTATAACTGGGTTGGCACGGGTCCCCAACTTATCAGAAGGGATGATGGTAGGTGATTGTGTCTGCTAGCCCTGAGGGTTTCTGAAATGCCTCAGAAGGTCTCCAGATTGCCCAAGATCTCCTAAGGGGCAACATTGCTCTGGGCAGCCTCCCTCTCTCTCCCCCACCAGCACTGTCTAAATTGGCTTATTGTCAAATATTTATTTCTGAGAAGTTTAAAAACATACAGCTAGGAAAGACACACCAGGATTTCCTTATATAGCAATTCAGCACGTGTGTTAAAAAGTTATTTTTGCTCACAATTTGTCAGAGACACATCCATGTAGGAAAAAGAAATGTCCACTCTATGGAGGAGATTTTCCACCTTTCCTTCATCTGCCTTTGTCCTTTCTGACTCTGCAGCCCTGGAAACAGGTGACTCTGAAGACAGCTCATAGGTGTGGAATTCAGAGACCAGTTGTTCTTCCTCCACCCTGCGTGCCAGCCAGAGCTTTGAGTTGATAACGGCTCCAGAGAGAAGCGGGTGCATTGTCTCATTGCCAAATTCCGCTCCTCTCTCCGTGATGATATGTTGTTAGAGTCCTGATCCCAGTTATTTGTTAAGTTAATCTGTGCTTCAGGGATCTCCGAAAGATCACAGCATTTTGTTTTTAGTGACTTCATTTTGCAATAAATACTCTAGGTAGGTGAGACTAGACGAGAGACATTTAAGCCCCACAATTTAATATCTGCAAATAGCATGTTAGGTTTCACCTTCCTATCCATTCATCTTCAGTGTTCTTGAAACAGATATTTAAATGGTTTAAACAGACAGTTCCCTGGTTCCCTGTTACTTATTCTGAGGTACTCATTTTCCTGTTAACAGGATATGGACTTAACTTTTTTAATCCTCAAACCCACAAGAACAGCAATGTTAACAGAACAGGAAGACTAGATGAAAATTGCCTCATGTTAGAAGCTTTGATCTCAGGACTTCCTGCAGAAACTCTCATAGCCTTATTTTTCTTTCCTTTGAATCCACTCATCTGTTTTTGATGGATTATAAAATGGCTTATAAAAATTTACAGTATTTAACTGAGATAAAGGTTACTACCAACAATCTAAGATTGTTGAAAATATGAGGGAGGCCATGCTGGTTAAATCATTGTTATGCCCATTCAAATTAATGAACGTGCCTCAGAAGGCAGGTTTGACATAACTGTAGCGTGTATGATCAGCTTGTGGCTGAAGAGAGAGGAAGACACGTCAATCTTTCTTCCGCTCTTCTCCATCTTGTCACCAACCACACTTATATTCTGATTCAAGTAGGCCCAGGAGTTAGACTGTTTGCATTTCAATTCAGATACTTCTGCTTACTAGCTCTGTATGGCCTGGTCAAGTTGCTTAATTTAAAGTGTAATATCTACTGAAAAGTGGAGGCCTTAAAAGCATTTACCTCTTAAGGATGTTGTAGGGGTTCGATTCCACGGTAATCCATATAGGAAGCATTCCGTAGGTGTTGCTAATAGCAACAGTAATAATGCTACTCCTCCTCACATTACCATTATTTAAAAATTTAAGATAATGGTTATTAACTTATTATCTTATAGAGCTTATCTTATGGAGCTATTAAAATCAGTTGGACTTAGCAGAATGGAAATTTGATTCTTTTGGCCCATTCTCATTTGGTGATAGTGAGCCATGAAATAACTAATAAATAGATAAAAAATCTAGATGGTTTATTATTACACTGAACAACTTCAGAATTCAAAGCACTAATATTGGTGCAGTTTCTTAGAAATCCTCATTTCCAGTTTGAAGATAATGACTGTCTTCTTAGCCTGTTAACTCCTATGTTGGTAAAATAAGATATTTCTTACTTCATAAAAGTATCACTCTTTAAAGAAAATTTCAAGTTTCTTTTCTTCATTGTTGTGTTTTCCTTTTAAAATCCTGCTAATATAAAAGAACATTGGAAAAGAAAAACCATTCCTGTTTCTACCATCTTAACTCAGTAGTAACTTCCATATCTTATTTTTCCATTTAATTTTCATCATGTTTTAAAATACTTTTGATTGTGTTATACTTCTGATTTTTTTTTGTTCTGACATTTTAGTTTTATCATAGTCTTTTGTTTTTATTAGGTAGTTATACTAGAATTTAACTCACTCCTTGTTTTTCGGTATGTAGTTTATCCCTAGCTTCCCCACCATTATGGATAATAATGCAGCAAAAAATAATCTTTATTGGCCCTAAAAATTAGAATTGTCATGAAGATTATATAGGTGTCAGCTAAATCTTTATTGTAGAGTGTTGTCCTCTGGGAGCACAGCAGATGCTAAAGAGCATTTCTGGTCTCTACCCTCAATTTTGTCAAACACATGTCTCCAGACAATGCCCAGTATCTCGTAGGGGACAGAGTCAGTTCTAGTTGAGAACTGTTTAGAACCACCTGTTAAGTGCTGTACACATATTTACTATTAATATCATTGTTGTTGGCATCACCCACATATCAATGACTTATAACTTAGAAATATAACTTCTGGGACAAGAGGCTTAGGATTTAGGGCTTCTGACAGTGTAGTAGTAAATACTCTCTGAAGGACTATGTTAAGTTTAATGCCATCAGTTGTTTATAAATATGTCAGTATCTCCGAGATCCAGCCACTATCCAATTGTGATTGCCGCGTGCTGTTTTATTTTCAATATCTGTAATGACTAGTCAAGTTGTACATTTCCTGTGTTTCTTTATTTGTCCTGCCACATCTGCAGGTTTGGTAATGACCTTTGTTGGTTTACTGTTCTTTGAATTGCTTTCTCATCGAATACTTGAAGTTGAAAAGTCATACTCTAAAGAATCAAGTCTGTAGTAAATGTCTTTGCTTGGTCTGTAATAGCATCTAAGTTGAAAATTGTTTCTTTCAGATTATTGTGTTTTATCAAATAGTGCTTTGCTGTTTCAGATTAAGATGCTTGACAGTGTCATTGGCGGTGTCCCATAACATGACACCTTTTCAGGATTTAAAAACAAGGTGACATTCTTTTTTTTTTTTTAAGGACCATTTTGTGTCAAACTGCTCAGCTTTGTATTTACTGATATGTGTCATCAGACCAATGTGACCCTTTTGTAAATAGTCCCAACCCAGGAGGCTGCCTTGCCCTACCCTTAACCCTCCTCTGGGCACTTTAGCTTACTAGCCCCTCCTCCCAAGGCAGGCACCTGCATTCCTTAGCCTGAGGAGTTTTCTAGCTGGGAAAGCTCACACTAGAGTGGGCAGGAAGTGCCAGCTCTACTGGCCCATAGACCAGTGCCTTCCCCCACACTGCTCTACTGCATCTCAGGTGAGTTGGCTTGGAGGTGAGCATTTTACTCTGCTTCTCTGAGGTCCTGGTGGGATTTAGTGCATTACAATTCTGCTGTAACTTGCTTGAAAATGACCCCTTTATTCCCTTTATTTGACAACTTGTCCTTTCCTGTCTTACTTTTTCACTCCCCACTAATGTTTCCTGGGATCATATCTAAAACGATCTACTTATTCTTGTCTCAGTGTCAAAGGAACCAAACTAACATGTTATTCTCCTTCTCCCATTGACCTTGATGATAGAAAAGGAAAACTCGGGAGACTAGAAATCTTTTGAAGTGTGTATGGGAAGCAGATGAGCTTAGTTCCACTGTCTCACCAAGTAAATATTCTTGTTATGTTGCTGTCCACTGTGCCCAAGAATGTCTGCATTGCATGGTGGGGTGACAGCCATGCAGGGTCCCCACCTGATGTGACTGTCCTCTTATTTCCCTTGCTCCTGGACTGACTAGGGCTGGCTGGATTCAAAAGACTGGGTTTCCATTTGAGTCTTTCTCCACATATGGACCAACCCTGTTAGGTAGGAAAAAATAACCCCTCATCTGTTGCTCTCCTAATTTGGTCCTTGTTTTTGAGCTAATTATTAATTCCTTGGGAAAAAATTTTAGCTCGGAGCTCTGTTAGCTTGGCAGGCAGGGCAACATTAGTTTCAATTTTGGGCTTAATCTGGGTGTCTGTGTTTGATTTAAAACCATTAAGGAGTTGAGGGAAGACCAGATGGGTTTATTTCTGGATGTCTAAATGGGGGTTGCAGGGCTGGAAAGGAAAGGAGGACTTTTTAAATTAGAGGTACAGGTTTCCCCCCGCCCCCCAGTATCCCCCATTTCCTTACTGAAGTATTTTTCAATTGCAATTTGTTTGCTTACTCCTCCCATGCATTCCCTTATTTATTTACCTCTCCCTCTTAGCTGGAGAGCCTCAGGTGTTGATGGTGTTTGTCAGATGGTCTGCTACGTACATGTCCAGCATTTGTCTTTGCTTTTCTGATTTGCTTCACTGCACACAATTGACCTCAAACTCCTTCCATTTTGCTGTAAATGACTATATTTCATCTGTTCCTTTTGGTGGGATATTAGTCTACAGTGGGGCTGTTAGGGGGAAAAGGATGTCCTAAAGCTAATTCCATACAGGCTTTGTGGACTCCACCCCCACCCCAGGCCAAAGCCAAAGACACTGGGAACTCCAAATCCCATCACCACCAAAGGGAAGGTGGCTGGGACCTGAGGGTGGGGTTAAGCAGCCAAGTTGGTATAAAGGCAGACACGTGGGCTTTAGGGGGCCCCCCATTTTGGCTCTCCGCCAGCTGGCAGCGTCCGGCCAGCTCTGAGAGTGACTTTGGGTTTCCAGGTTGGCAGATCGGGTGGGACGCATTAAAGACTTTATTTCCCTATTTTCTCCCTGAGTTGTACATTTTCCTTATTTCCTTTCCCTTGTAAATAAACCTTTTATTAACCTTTTGTGTGTGTCTGTAGTGGAGTATTCATAAGTCCCTTTTAAGTGCGCGGGTGAGGACCCACAGCCAGGAACCCGTTCAATATCGGGGCTGCTCTATAACAGGGCTAGTCCACAACTTCTTGATCCAGTTGTCTATGGAGGGGAATTTTGGCTGCTTCCATGTCCTGGCTTTCTTAAGTAGTGCTGCGATAAACATTGTAGAGCATATAGTTTTTTTGCGTTGATGGTTTTATGTTCTTTGGGTAGACCGCCAAGAGTGGGATTGCTGGGCCATATGGCATGTCTATGTTTTGTTTTGTAAAGTAAACCCAGATCGATTTCCACAGTAGCTGCAGCAGTTAGTATCCCCACCAACCTTGTAATAGGGTTCCTCTTTCTCTGCACCCCAAAATACTTGTTATTTATTTTTTTAGTATGTACAGTTCTTACGGGTTTGAGATGCTATCTCATGGTAGTTATACATTGCTCTTATTGGAAAATAAAATTTAAAGAATAAAAACTAGAAAGGGAAGGGGAGAAAGGGTGTCAAGGACCTTGTCGTATATACACAAGTTGAGCTCAGTGAGGTACCTCTGAAACTTAAATAATGTTCTAACACTTCGTTACTTCAATTAGAAAAATAGATGAAAGGGGAAGAAAGGGCCAAATTAAGAAGAGGAATGCTAATAGTAATTAAAACAAAGAAAAGAACATGAGTAAGTTAAATAGAGTTGTTTTGTTAATTTTAAAAATCAATTTGTTGGAGTTAAATGTCAAATTTGGCTCAAATAAAATTGTTGAATTGCTTTAATTGGCTGGGGTTGGAATGCCTGAGGGTCTAGGCCAGGGTAGAAATTTCCCTTCCAGGTGCTTACTGAAGAACTCCCAGGGAGGTATGTGGGCACCTGCTCCCGACCCCTCAGACCCCTCTCACCCTCCCACCTGCCCCTTACTCAGTTCTCAATGCACCTTCCTCAGCCCCCAGCCCTAGGGGCTTTTTCTTCAAGTCACACAGCTGTTTTGTTTTCACTTCAGCAAGATGTTGCATGTCCTTCCACAAAGCCGAGGTCACTATGTGGCCTTTGTGACCTTAGCTGAGAGCGTCGGTGACCCCAAGTGACGCACAGTGAGTGCTGGCCAGCCTGGGTTCCCGTATTCCATGTGAAAGTTCTTCCTTTGTTATTTGTGAGTAATAACTGAAAAGGATATACAGCCAAATGATTTCATTGTTGAACCCAGACTTGAAGGTCATGAGAAACTGCCTGTCCAAAGTAAACGCTGCCAAGAGTTGGTTCAAAGGTCGGCACTAACACCTGGGCAGCTTTAGAAGCAAGGCAGAGGAAAAAGGATCAAAACGAAACATCACTCTTTAGATGATGTGAGAGCTGATTCCACAAGATGGCGGTTGTGTTGGATCCTTACAGTAGAGGACGGTGAGGCCGAGTTGACACCATGAGCAGCATTTTATTTTCTTTTTAAAATTAATTTTCTCACATTGCTCATTTTTATACAGTATTTCTCCCCTCAGGTGTAGTCCCAGTAGTTAAGTTCTCTCACCACCACAGCACCCATGATCCATCACCACAGTCCCTTGTGCTCTTCCTTCCCCTGTGTTGATCCCTCTCTCTCTCCCTCCCTTGCTGGATGCCTCAGATCTACAGCCAGCCTGCAAGTTTTATCTTTTTCCTGACCCTTTTTTTGGTTACCC